GGAACAGATATTATAGGGTTCCATGCGCCGCTTTAGTCATGGAAATGCTGCTGCACTGCAGCTGTGTTCGCCTGCTCTGTGGGCTTGGACCCCTAAAAATATGCATTTCAGATGAAGAGCATCATCAGACGAAGAGCTGATGATTATTTCACAAAAGCATTAGCAAGAAGGTCTTGGGTTCAGCCCCTGTTTGGACCTGGGGTCTTTCTGTGCAGAGATGGCGTGTTCTCCTTGTCTTTGCATTGGTTTTCTCCTCTAACAGACAAAAATGATCATGTTGCCTTCAGGCTTCCATGTTAAAGAGATCTGTGATCTCAGGTTAGGTTAGGAAGGATATTTTTGTTTAAATAAAAGTTAATTTCTTTTCCCCTTTCTGTTTTGTTTTTTGCCTCATTTCCAGCTGTGACCCTGGGTGGGACGGGGAACTTTGTGACCGTTGTGTGCCAATGCCCGGATGTGTTCATGGTTCTTGCCTGCAGCCATGGCAGTGCACCTGTGAAACGGGCTGGGGAGGACGATTCTGTGATAAAGGTGAGAAACTTCACCTGAAGTCATGTGACAGGTTTTCTGTTGTTTTGCAGAAACTTTGTGCAGTTACTGATGAAACATACAGACTCATCCTCACAACAAACGCACAAACCAAAAGTTTAACAAAAACAAATCAGAGGAGAAAACTATACTTTATACAAAAGCATACATTATAAATGATCTCAGCTGCAGTAGAGCTCATGAGCAGAGATATTAGTGGGGCAGACATTAATTTCCTAAATCAAATTCAACACAAATGTTATAATTTTCAGCACATTTTCTGTGAACGTTACTTATTTAATCAGTTATTTGTCTGTCTTGCAGGTTGTGTCTTGTAACAAAAATAGTCTTGTCTAATATTTAATCAGAGAAACATCTGCTCCCACCTGAATGTATTTTTTATTTTGATTCTGGGTAAAATTAACCTGACGTTTTCTGGATCGGATTTCTAATTTAATTTTGAGTAATAATTCTGCAATAATAGTAGTTGGGGGGGGGGGGTAATTCTAAATATAAAGTACCAAAATAATGTGAACTATACATCTTAACTCAGAGGACTTCAAGATGTAGGGGCCTTGCAGATCCTCGGTGTCTGGTTTTAAACAGAGTCTGTAAAGAACACAGGCTGCTCCTCTGTGTATCTTAGCTCCTCCCACTCCTTTTTGTCTCCATCACAGGTGTTTGTGTTTGTGTGTGTTTGTGTGTGTTTGTGTTTGTGTGTGTTTTCCTCCTACAGCCAAAAAGTCTGGTTAAGTAGAGGTTCTGTGTTGGCCGAAGGTGAGAGTGTGGATGTGTTAGAGCAAACTCTTCTATCTTCTGGAAAACTGTGTAAATGAGCAGCGTAAACTGATGAATGTGTATCAGCTGCACGAGGAGAGGAGATTAGCATAATTACCTCCCTAAAAACACCATATAAGGCTGTGTTTCCTGTCCCACATATCAGGAAGTGTCCATTCATAAATGACATCACAAAGTAAAAAGAAGAACTTTACGAGTTCAGAGATTGAAGTTCTGCTCTCAGAGATCCAGAAAAGAAAATCTGTCATTTTTAGCAGGTCAGCTGTGGAACTAAAGGAGCTGCTGAAGACGAGAAATGAAATGTTCTGTTAATGTTGTGTCTCCTGTGGATCGTACAGTCACAGAAATAAAAATATAAATCATATTCATCTCTCTCTAGTCCTGCTCTGGTTTTTCTTTGGTCAAATATTTTTTTAATTTAAGTGTAAACAACTGTGTTACTGTGTTTACATTTATTCAGAAGAAGAGCAGTCACACTCCACTACACCTCCCCGCTGACCGTCGCAAGTGTCAGATGTGTTTCTGTATAAAAGCATTTTAAAATGTCTTCAAACTTTAATTAATGCAGAATTTAAGTTGGTTTGTAGTTTGATATCTTCATATTAACATTGTAGTGTTATACAACAGCATTAATAGACTATTTAATCTAATTTAACCAATTTCTATCAGTCTACATTATTACATTTAAAATTATAATTCAGTTCAAACAGAATAGCCTATTGTCAACATAATTATGGAGTGTGATTTATTTTCAACTCTAAATATCTTCAAACTAATGAAATATAAAGTTATTAGTGAATAAAATCAGTCTGGATAACAGCAGACTGACTGCAGGTAAAATATACGACAGGTCTGGACCACTCATGAATTTTGTTCGTATCTGAAAAATAATCTAACAATAAGAGAAAATTGGTGAAAGATACGTTCTAAATCACTCGTACACACAACTGAAGAACAAATCTGTTTGTACGAATGGTTCTTTGATGAGGCCCGATGTTCTGGACTGCAGGACTATTTGCTGATGAAGTTGTTCACAAACTGGTGAACTTAGCCCCATCCTTGTTTGTGAGCTGCCTCAGCCACAGCTGTAGCTGCATCTTTCTCACAGTTCTACAGATGCCTCATTTTTTCCTTTTCTATTTTAAGACTCATTTCTTTCTCTGCAAAGGTAAGATGAGCTTTAGCTGCCTCTGATTTGGATCTGGATTTTGCTGCAGCAGAGCTAGTTGATGAGGGCCTGCAGAAGAGACATGTTATCTGGTTTTATATAAACATGCTTTGTCCGACATATTGTCAAAATGGTAGACATTTGTTTAGCTTTATTTAGATTGGTAGTAGTGTGTTGTGACATCTTTGTTGTTAGCCTGCACTGTGTTATCTCTTTAGCTTGGGTGTCATCATTTCACTGTGCTGCTCTGGATACACTCCATGTGCAAATTAATAATTAGACAGTCAGCTAAAGCCCTTTCCCACATCTGAAGACCTGCTGTCTAAAGGTTTAATGGTGTAGAAAAGGTAAAATTACAAAACTAATTGAAAACATCATGTATTATGCGCATTAAACAAACATACTGTATATTGGGCTCATACAAGCCACCAAGTGGCTTGGAGTGTAGTGGCTAATAATTAGCATACAGGCTAACACTCAACACCTTCACTGCATTTACACAATCTTCAACACAAACAAAATAGTAAAACACAAGAATGTTTCATGATGTAATGATACATCCTGCAGAAACAACCAGAAACCATGCTGAACAATGCAGAAGTGTAAAGAGCTTAACTACATGCTGGCTTTCAATTAGGCCTTCAAATTACCAAGGTCACTGCTAATAGTGGCCCACTCAAAGCAACAATAGGTGTGAGTATTGCCTAGAAACCTACTTTGTTGTGACCAGCACAACAATTTAACAAATATGTCTTCAAGAATGAAATTAATAATTTTTGAGGAATTATACAAATTTTAACATTTCTTAAACAAACACAAAAAATTATATTTCAGTTTTTACCATAAATGTCTCCACTCTGTTTCAGATTTTTCTTCAGTTTGTGATAATTCAGTTTTTTGTGTGTGAAGGGATTTCTTGACCTTTTATTTTGTGTTTTCTGTCAGACCTGACGGTGTGCCTGCAGAAGCAGCCATGTCAGAACGGTGCCACCTGTGTGATGGAGGACAGTGGTGACTTCACCTGTTTGTGTCTTGAAGGATTCCATGGCCCCACCTGCCAAAAGAAGACTGGACCATGTTACCAAAGGAGGTGATTCATATTAATATCAACTGGTAATTGATAAAAAAAAAAAACGATCAAGAAACATTTTATTATTGAACTTCTAAACAAATAATCTCAGTTAATAAATCTTGACTCGAACAAGCCTTAGAAGCCTTGGAAACAGGAAGTCATTTCCCTATGGACCCCCACTGGCAGAGAGTCTTCAAGGGATCCCCGATTAGTTGTAACATTCGACTTTATTTGATAAACATATATTTTAACACGGACGTAGCCATTTTATTTGCACACAAAGCATTCTGGGTAAATGATGACGTGGATAGGTCCTCGGTGCGGACCAGAACTGATAACACACAACCGATAACGATAACGGTGTAGATAACCAGAGAGCGTTGACAGAGAGAAGGTAGAAATGACTCAGCCTGGAACTGAAAATATGGATGGAGGACAACAGAGCTGCTTCATGGAAGAASAACCTCAGMTTAGCCTGTTAGCTTTAGCRTTAGCCCYGATGCTATCACCATATATATGTATTAGCTCAGCGCTACACATTCTCTCATCACTGAGGTCCTCCATCCACATGATAGAGAGGGGAACAACTGAAAATATGGATGGAGGACAACAGAGCTGCTTCATGGAAGAACAACCTCAGATTAGCCTGTTAGCTTTAGCATTAGCCCTGATGCTATCATCATATATATGTATTAGCTCAGCGCTACACATTCTCTCATCACTGAGGTCCTCCATCCACATGACAGAGAGGGGAACAACTGAAAATATGGATGGAGGACAACAGATTAGCTTGTTTGTCGCGCTAGCGCGACAAACAAGCTAATCTGTTGTCCTCCATCCATATTTTCAGTTCCAGGCTGAGTCATTTCTACCTTCTCCTCTCTGTCAACGCTCTCTGGTTTCATTTAAAAGAGTCGATCATCAGATATTGTCCAAGATTAACCTTCAGGGTGGATATAGCTCGCTAGCAGCCTCGCACCGAGGACCTATCCACGTCATCATTTACCCAGAATGCTTTGTGTGCAACTAAAATGTCCCCGTCTGTATTAAAATATATTTTAAAATTTTAGTTTAAAAAATGATAAAAAAAACTAAACAGCCTACAGTATTTTTACAGTTTTTATTTTATAGTTAAAACATGTGTTTATGAAATAAAGTCTAATGTTACAACTAATCGGGGATCCCTTTCAAGGTTGGGTATAAGTGGCAGGCATGAGTGGCACTCTGGGTTTGCTGGTTCTTGGCAACGTAAACTTGCTAAAGGGCCATGGAATGTCCCCTCACAGCAGAAAAATGGAGTATGTGTGTTAGTGCAAACAAACCAACTAGATATGGTCTCACATCCACACAGTTGTTGGAGAGGGGCTGAACCCAAGTGTTGTTTTGTCACTGGACTTGTGTGCTATGTGAGGACTGTCTAAAACAAATACCATGTTGGAGGGGGGTCCATTAGTACAACTGGAACCAAGACTTCTTCAAGCCATGACCTTGGGTTTGCAGCCGACTGAAATGGGCTGAAGTGTCACTGGGAAAAGGGAAGCCCAGGTTTTCCTTCTGTACTTGTTACCCCCACAGCTCAACCACAAAGTGACAGAAAAAGTAAGGAGGGATGAATTCATAGACAAATTGTTTAGAAGTCATCAATAAATCTTTGATCAAAATATGTATCATGATCACTATATCTTTGCTCAATAAACCTCCAGTAAATTATAAAAAACTTATAACTGATCAATAAATCTCTGCCTCATTTTACCAAATTTTTGATGACTGATCAGTTATTAAGACCCCCGCACACGAAGCGTAAGCAGGAGTCATTGTTTTCGTACTGGTTTTTTTTTCAGTGATGTTTGGTCAACCGTAGCACAAAAACAGCTGCACCGATCAACATGAAATGAGTCAGGACTGTAGATGAGTCTGACCTACACTGATCCAGCCAACAGTTTTATGATAGACCCCATATTTGAGGAGGGGGCTTCTTTCAAAGAGGGGGTGTCAGGACATATAAAATGTTTATAACTCAGAAACTGTTTATAGAAGCTTCAGATTTTTCTTGTTTAGCTCTGATGAAGCTCTATCCATCAGGTCCACCATCAGTGCCCCCCCCCCCCCCCCC